CGGCTAGGCTAGCAATGAACCCTTGCTGCATCCGAGTGGCCTCACACAGCAGCCCTAGGCAGAGAGGAGGAAGAGGAGCAGTTGTGTGAGCCACGGCCAGGAATCCCTGGCCAGTAGCCTCTATGCAGCAAGTTTGCCAGGCCTCAGCCCTCTCCCAGGAGCTGGCTAAGCCTTGGGCAGCATCAATTCCTCCCTGCTTCCTGCTGCTTTCCGAGCCTGCAGTGCTCAGAGGCAGGCTCAGAGCTCCCCCCAGGGAGGAAGAGGAAGCAACGCAGAGACAGGGACAGCAACAAGTGGCATAGGGCTGCCATCACACCCCCTGCAGCCCCCAGGGTTATCCCCCACCACCAGCTGGGGGTCCCCACCAGAGACCCCAAACCTCCCACCCAGGGACAAGAGCCACCGCCCAGCGGAGCTCTCCCCTGCCACAGGGCAGGCAGCACTCCCAGTCCCACCAATAAGACTGGAGTGGGAAGAGGGTGAGCCCTTTCGTGCTGGTACAAGCACGCTGCAGAGGCGGGAAGCTGCAGGCTGGGATGGGGAAGGAGACCAGAGGAACCACAACACCTGCATGAGGATGCCACAGGATTAGGACTGGGGTACCCGAACAGGCAAAACCAGTCCCCAAGCCAGGCCCAGCTGCAACAAGGCTCAGAAGCTGGAAGACCAGAGGGTTCACAAGTGACACAAGTTCCCAGGCCTCAGCTCTCGCCACACCCAGCTGACTCCTCTTCCTGGCCTCACCCAGCAGAACCAATGGCCGGCTCCACTGCTCCCCATCACGACGTCTCTTTGGCCCTCCGCTTGTAGTGCACCTCGGGGAGGCTCCTCAGGCGCTCAGCCGCCTGCGGGGCACAGCAGAAGGGGCAGCCAGCAGCCGGTCCCAGGGACAGGCCCAGCACAGGACCCCTGGCCCCCCACAATCCCCCCCGAGCTATGCTCACCTGCTCAGGTGTGAGGTCCCGCTGCGCCTGCGCCAGCATCTCATAGCCAACCATGAACTTGCGGACAGTGGCGGAGCGGAGCAGCGGGGGATAGTAGTGGGCATGCAGCTGCCAGTGCCCACAGTCCTCCTCCAGGTAGGGGCCTGTGGGGGCTCCTGCCAGGGGTGCAGCTGCTGCATGAGCCCCGGGGAGGGGACGGGGACATGGATGAGAGGGTCGCAGGGGTCCCCCAGCCACGCTACTCACCATGCCAGCCCATGGAGTATGGGAAGGAGACTTCGAAGAGGTTGTCATACTTGATGAGCAGCCTCTGCATGATGGAGGCCAGGCCTGCAGGGGAGTGCCAGGGAGTTGCACCCCAAACTGGCCAGCCCCCTGCTGAAGGCAGGCAGCACACCTGGCTTGGGGGGGGGTCACCCCCAGCATCCCTCCTGGGTGGACATCAGTGACGGGCAGAAGGGACACACCGGCCAGTTCCCCTCCTCCTAACCCATACAGACAGCCCAAACAACACAGCACAAGGAGCCCCCATTCAAAATCAGCCAGCGTCCCAAGAGTATGGGGCACCACGTGCTTCATCACCCCAAAAAGGATGGTAGTCCCCCCCCTGAGTACAGCCTGTGCCTTGATGGCATAGCTATCAAGGCTGTGGATATCATCCCCTACAGCTCCTGCCCCAGCATAACAGGGGTGCCTGTCCCCACTCAAACCAAGGCCGGCAACCCCACATCCCAGGGGGACACAGACCCTCCAGCACCAGTGAGGCTGCCACAGAGCTGCCTCCTAACGAAGGCCGAGCCCAAAGGACATGGTACAAGGGCTAACGAGGTGCAGAGCCACTCACTGTCCCTCTCGCCCTTGCGGAGGTCCTGGAGGCGGCAGACGTGACGGCGGGGGAGCAGCAGGGTCTGGTAGGGCCAAGGGGCCCAGCACCAGCACCAGCCAGTCTGTGTTCTCCACCACCAACCGCTCCTGCGGGACACGGCACTAGACAGGGACAGGCGCAGCCCCGATGCCCCAGGGATGGGCGCTCCCAGGGCCCCTGCTCTTGGGTGCTGGGGGGTACTCCCCAGCACATATCCAGCTCCCAGGGAGGGGATATGGACAACAGCCACGTCCTCACCTTCCGGCGAGCCTCCTGCTCGGCATACTCCAGCAGCATGGGCACACCGTGCTGGCTCAGGTGCTGCCGCTGGGTCCGGTCCTCCAGGTGTGCCTCGTTGGGGAGGAAGCTGCTGGCCCAAACCTGAGAGAGACATTGGGGCAGGGGGCTAGGTTACCTGTACCCCGCATTTGCAGGAGTGCCCCAGCCATGCTGCCCATCTGCAGGTCCATGCTGCCACCAGGTGGAGAGTCCGACATGTGGCAGCCACAAGAGACAGTCCCCAGGAGGGGAGGTCACAGGACAGGCATAGGGGTATCCTCGCTGCAGAAAACTTTGGGACCAGGGCAGGGGGATTCCTGTTCACATCTTCTGCCTGAGTTTGTTGTAGGGTCACCCATAGGGACTTGCGGTTAAGCCAGGTCACGGGTGGGACAGCCTCACCTGGCAGTGCGGATGCGGGTTGGAGCAGCCCATCATCGCTCCCTTGTTCTCGAAGATCTGCGAAGGAAGAGGTGCACCCAGCAGGTCCCAGCCCCAGGGTCCCTGCTGTGGGTTGCCACAGTGTCCCTGACACACCAGGAAAGCATCCCGCAGGAGACCAGAGCCTCACACCTGCCTGGAAAGGCTCAGGGAGCCATGAGTGGGGACAGGGGACCCACAAACGACTGATATGGTCCCAACCCCAGGTGCTGCCAGAGCACGAGTCTTTGCACCCCGCCTCCACCCGAGACCCCTGGGGCAGGGAGAGAAGGGCAGCCCCCACCAGCCTCGGACCTGCACCCAGGGGTAGGAGGCACCCAGCTCAGCCGCCAGCTCTGCCCATGTGTCGATGACAGCCCGGATCTCTGCCAGGGACATGAGGGGCAGTGTCAGGTCCGACCAGGGGTGGAAGCACATCACCTTGCTGCAGAGGAGACACAATAAATCTGGCTTCATCCCACGGGTCCTGGCTGACATCACAGCCTGGACCCCCCAGAGCCATGGGGGGTACTCACCACACACCCCGAGCTGCTGCTGCTTGAAACAAGGGGTGATCGCTGTCACCTGGGGAAGGACAGACAGTGGGGAAGGAGAAGGTGCTGGGGCAGCACCCATGCCTCTCCAGGCCACCCTGCAGCCCCCCTAGGACTCAAGCCCAGGGGTCCTCAGCAGCCTGCTCTCCCCCCAGAAGTTACCAGGCTCAGGAGCATCGGGCTGCAGCGCAGGGAAGTCATTTGGGAAGACGAAGGTGCCCTCGTACTGGGGGTTCACCTGCCAGGGCGAGAGACAGGATCAGGGGGGGATGGGGTGGTGGGGGGAGCCCGGACGCCTGGGCCCTTGGTGGTACCTCGCCGTTGGCCCGGGCCGCCCCGGGGCAGAGGGGGTTGTTGGGGTCCCAGCGGGGCACATCCTCGGGGGGCGGCCTCTTC